CATTTGTATAAATAGAAAATGAGATCATGGTATAAATTAAAAACTGAAAAACCTGGAATTACATAAGTAGTTAGTCATTTGAAAGTGAAGAGTAAATAAGTCGTTTCCTATCATTAAGCACAGAGCAAACAATGCATTTCATATATCCAATTATTGTAGAGTATCAAAACAATAGCAAACAAAACAAAACAAAACGAAGAGTAAATTCATGCGGCTGCAGCTTACATGTGTAGTTAGTATTCTTTTTGTTTTTCTGTTTATTTTCTGCTATTAAGTGGAGTGGAAATGCGTAGGAAATTATGATATAATCATATACAGAGAATAGGCGTATGCATATACATATGTACATATATATCGTATGCATGGGTAGGCAAATGGAGCTAATTTTCAAGATCAAGTTCAAGTTTAGCAACTGCATGATTTATGCCACAATGCAGCTGAGTTTTGTTGCAGGTAGCACGACACAGCGTCGCTTGATGGGAAACTCGGCAATAGCATTTTCACAAAAGTGCCTGCAACAGAGACAGTGAGAGAGAGAGAGAGAGAGAGAGAGAGAGAGAGAGAGAGAGGGAGAGAGAGAGAGAGATTGATAGAGAGAGGGGTAGAGTGGGGGTAAGGAGACAAAAACCTTGATGTGCTTGGCAATTTGCCAAAGAGGAGCAGCAAAATAAGAAGAAGACCTAAAAACAGTGTGTCTAGCGGCTAAAATCACCTTTTGACCCACATTGGGCACAGCAATTCGAGACACTGTGATTGTGCATAATGTGAAAATGATGTTGCTGCGGCTGCTGATTGATGCACGATTGGAGGAGAAGAAGAAGAGGAAGGTGCAGTAGTGGAAGAAGAAGAAGAGACCAAACTAGCGACAATTCAATCGTGTGTTTGTGGCTTGCATCTTGCGGCAATACGAACGGAAGTCAACCGCACAAATCGAACAATTTACTGTTGATTGCCGCTAGCCTAATGCTGGTTTCTTTAAGTATATACAGAGACATCTTTACATATATATGTACAAGTATATATGTATATGGATATAGTTGTGCCTCGGAAAATGTCAAATGTGAAAACGTTTGCGGTTTTGCTGGCGATTTTCCCGCATGGAACGTGACTTTGGCATTTCGCAGCGGCTTTAAATGCAGCTTTAACTGTGTCAGTTACTATGTGTGAAACAAAGTGGTTGGCTGGCTGGCTGGGTGGCTGGGTGGTTGCTTGGGTTGGGATGGCACTGAGGTGCTTGCTGAAGCATATTTTACGCATAGTTAAACACAAGTGCAAAGCGTCGCATAAACACGCATAAACACACATAAAGCACACCCACCCACACACACACACTCACACCTAGCTTGTGTACTTAATTATGCATTAGGCTGCACTGGCACTGGCACCTAGCTGCAACTACCTACAGTTCATTGAACTGGCCGTTAAAAGGATGTGGCATTGCACCGTTTTGGGGGCGTGTCCGCATACACACACACTCACACCCACACAGACATTTTGACCTGGTCTTTGGCCCATCTTCATTAGGGGCCAGCGACAATCAATTGCCACCTTAAAACGAGCTTCACGTGGTGTCGGCCAAGTAATTGGCGAAATGTACATTTTGGCGTTCAACCTGAGTGTGGCATGCCAATGGAGCGTGGCGGGCAGTCAGAGGCGGCAGCGGCGGCGGTGGCGTTGGCGTGGCCACACTTGAGTGCACCACGGACTGCGGGTGGGTTGTTGCCGGCAATTGATGTGCCTAAGCCACGCATGTGTGGCCAGTTTTGTGTGTTTGGCATTCAATTGAATTTATGGCCGTTTTGTGTGTGTGTGTGTGTGTGTGCGTGTGCAAGCTGTTTGCCAAATTTATATTGCCTACATTTGAGGGCAGGCAACTGGGCTTTGCTTGCAATTGATTTTGTTTTGCTTTTGAACTGCTCCTCCTGCTCCTGCTCCTGCTCCTGCTGCTGCTGCCTGCACATGTCCACATCGAGCAACAACATTGTCTCTGTCAGTAGAAAACCCTCGAGACAGCACGCTCTGATGCACACCCACACACACACACACACAGTCAGTGTCCTGGCTTGCACGAGCGGCTTGTTTATTGAATTTGGGAGCTTTTATGCGCTGCCACAGTGCCCGATGGCACTGCAGGCAACCACCGCAATTGACTCTTGTCTCCTGCCTCCTGTGCTCCAGCAGCCGCTCACTGCAATCGAGGATGTAATTTTTGCATGTCTCCGGCATTAAATTTGCGCCTAGTTGCAACTCTTTGCTGCTGCAATTAGGTCTATGACATTCCGCTCTAAATCTCCTGCACACTTTGCTAATTGTTTTCAATTGCACACACACACACACACAAGCAGACACACACAAAGACACAGACATGCACACACACATGCAGAAAAAACGTAATTGTTCTTTGATGAGGCTTTGGCCCCCGGCTAATTAGCTGTTAGAGCTCATGGCAAATATTTCAATTGCAAAATTGTTTGCCCTAATTGCCTTAATGCTAACTGCTGACCAAATTAGTTGATTGCTATTGGACTCGTTATGTGAGCCGGTGGCATCCCGTTGCTTATGCAAGCATCCATGGCTCCATGGTCACTTCGTGATGATGATACCAAGCGCATGTGCTTAACTCCAAATCTGCTTTGTCTATGCGAACTTAAGCGAATATTAAAATTGGCTCTGAATTACTTCTCTCTTGTTTATTTACAATTAGTATATTGTATATGTGTACATTATGTACTCCACTATTACTGGTCTGTTATTAGATCTAAATAAGACTAGATTATTTCAGCTAGATCAAATTTTTACAATACACAACTGAAATCTTTTACCTTTGTCAATTTTACATTCAGTCTTACTTTATTCCTATTAAATTCCCTTCACAACTTCTAATTTTAATTTATTTTGCTTTTCACAGTTTATGTACCATTTTCCTCTCGCTGTTTTGGTCACTTTCTCGCACTCAATTTTCACTAGCTACGCAGAGCAATTGCCAGGCAAACTTGCGAGTAGATGCAGCTCTATTGAAACGTTTGCCTCCGTTTCTATTGTGTGCTCTGCATATGGAATCTGATTCCGCACCCAATACCCATACCAATACCAATACCTATACAAATGCCCGATTGCAGAAGCCCAATCCCAAGCCCAACTTCATGTGCGGCAGCATTGAAGACGCGTGTTTTGTCGTTTCAGCCTGTTGGACTGCACGTGACTTGTGTGAACAATATTTGCCCCGACACCCTACCTACCGCCACTGCCACAGGGCGTGGCAAGGGAAGGTGGGGCTCTTGTGGTGCTGGCATTGTTTTGCATTTGCGTGCAACGATTTGTGTGCAGCCTTTGTCTTATACCTACTCGATGTTGTTGTTGGTTGTTATAGGCTTTTAATTGACATACGCGTCTCTTACACGATTTCTCAGTTGACTTAGCCCGAAGTCTAACCCAGCTGCATACTAATATCTCTTGGCTCGCACTCGCTCTAACTTTCATTTATCTCTCTCTCTCTCTCTCTTTTGCAGCTTGTCATGATGTCTGAGCGCCTAAATTTATTGGCCACACATTGATTTCCATATCGCTAGCGTATTTGGCCCCTTAAGGTGAGTTGACTTGACTTATTAGCCTGCTAAGTTTAGATAATTGCTCTCGCATGCGCACCAAATGTTAATTAGCGCCCAACAACAACAGCAACAACAACAACAGCAGCAGCAACAACAACAACATCCGGACTGCTGTTGTAGATTGTAGATATTAACACAGATTTTATGGCCTTGCACGCGGCGTACGCATCACACGAAAGCCCCGCGTGTCAATATAAAATCGCCTTAAACCATTCACCAGACAGCACTCAAAGCTATTTTCATTAACTAAGCGCTGGGCTGAGTTCGGCGGCTCGGTTGCAGCGCCGAGCTGTGGCCCCAGGAGGCGGCGGCAACAGCAACAACAACGAGGAGAATATTATGAATATAGAAAGTCTGACTAGATATGATCTTTATTTTCGAAAGCCAATTGGATAAAACTCTTCTGGCGCGAGGAAGAACGATTAACATTTTTTTGGCCATTCAGTTTTGAAAGTAATTTTATACTCAAGCTGCATTACTGATTGGCAATATTGAGTAAACATATAGTTCCTGTAAAACTGCAATGTATTCCTTATAAAGTATTAAAATCTTGAATGACTTCATAAGTATGTCAGAGAATTATAACTGGACAGAAACAACTAAAAATCCAATTAGTGAGAGTCTTTGCCTATTGCATATAATGTGTTAGAATTGGAATGAACTTGAATATATTGCATAAAAATTAAGAATGTATTTGTTATATTTTATAAGCTGCCATTAAATCTAACAAGTTCGTGCTTTCCATAGCTAGAATTACCTAACCTATATAAAGCAAGATATAAAATATTCTGTAGACAATTATGCATCTAGTTTACATAACATTTTTAATAGTTCTATATACACGTTCAGGTATATATACATATATACATAGATATATATATATTTATATATATTCTTAGAATTTAAGTGAAAGCAGATATTTCATGCCAATTCACGCTCGCTTCGTCATTATTAATACATGCAGGGTATAAGAACCAAAACAACAACAACAACCAAATTTGCCGCTTTGATTATGTATGTTTGTATGTATGTGTGCGCTGTGCAGTTTTTATGCTGCCGGTGTTTTTGCTAGTCGCTTGAACAAAATTAGAAAGAAAAGCTCTTTTCTCTAATGCACAAACACCAGGTAAATATGCGCTCACACATATACACACACTCACACCCACACACACTCTACCAGCGAATCATGCTTAGCTGTAGCCAAAGCTTACTTTGAGCTGAAATTAAATAATAAGAAAAAAAAAACAGACTTGAGTTTGAGCCTATTTCTTTGTTGTGGCATACGTGTCGTATGCTTAATTGCAATTGGGCAACTGCTTGGGCAACCCACGCACAGCTTTCGCCAGCGAGCTTTCACTCAACAGAGCTTTCGCTCACAGTGGCGCTCCTGCTTTAGTCAGTGTCCTGTGCGCCGAGCGACGAAACGAAACGATTTTCTTCCGCAGTCTCCTCACGAATTTCGCCAGCAGCGGCTGGGTTCCAAAGGCCCAACAGCGGACGGTTGGCAACGCGCGTGTTTGGTTGGCAACTCAACTCAACTAAATAAAAATACAGAAAAAGAAAATAACAAAAAATACATAAAGAAAAAAAAAAAGAAAAAATAAATAACCAGGCAGTCAGCGTTGTGGGCGTGGGGCATTGTGGGTGGCGCGCAAAATAAAAGTAAAATGAAAATGAATTAGAAGTTTTTGTGTATTAGAGCTTGTGTGTGTGTGTCCGTGTGTGTGTCTGTGTATGTATTTGTGTGCGGTGTTATGTAAAGCGTACTGGATTCGCCTTAATATTCGAGCGTCCAAAAAACGAAAGCACTGAAAACCACGTCGCGTCCTGTGAGAGTGAAAATATAATGCTGCCCAAGTGTGCGAGACGCTGACTCGTTGTTATCGTTCATTGTTGTTGCTCATTGTTGTTGTTCGTTGTTGCTGTTGCTGCTGTTGCTGCTGATTGCGCTCACGTATATTATGTAAATTATTATGTGGCCGCCCAACAAGACGAGCCTCGATTTCGCCCTCGTCCTCGTCCTCATCGTCGTCGTCGTCGTCGTCGTCGTTGCTGTCGAGCTTGCCTAGCCGAGCTTCAGCCATGTCCAGCTCCTTGTCCATGTCCATGTCCACATTTACGTCTGTAACTACGCTGCACGTCATCAACGTCCTGTCTTTGCTGTCACAACAAAAACCAAAAAACATAATTTAAACGCCTGCTGCGCGTGTGGAGACAACGCGTGCCTCATATATAGCCTCCTTCAGCAATTGTCCTTGTCACAAGTATCAGTTCATGTGTTTTGCTTTTGGCTAAAAATGCGTTTGAAGTTTATTTTTAGCCGTGTGTGTGTGTATGTGTGAGCGTCTTACACCTGAGCCTGTGACCTGACTCTTTCTGTGTGTGTGTGTGTGTTGGCAAAAAGGTGCCTGACTGCTAAATTGTTAGCAAGTTTGAACGTGTATGTGGCGCCATCTTGGGCCGCTTTTAAAGCAATTTATTATGCCAAGCAGCGCATTATTTACACACCCAATACACAAACAGAAACACACACATACACACAGAGTATACACATGGCTTGCCTCTAATGAATAATGCTATTCAAAAGCGTATCTACAGCATTTGCATATCCAGCCAAGTCGACAACAGCCAACAATCAAGTCAAGGCATAGTCGGAGCAAGGACCTCATATTTTAGCCAGATTCCATAGTCATGTAACCAGGTTATCATATACATATAGTTAAATACATACCCCGTTAATATATATATACTTTCATGTGTATTGATGCAGCTGACAGTTGAATTCAATTTGAATTGCTATTTTGATTAATTGAACCATTTGGTCAACTAATTGCTTGAAACGCTTATTCACTTCAACTGCATAAATACGTAATTATGGCTATTCAGCATAATTCAGTTCAAATCGCTTAATTGACATATTTTGTGACAATTGCAATTTTGAGACTGCCTTAACTTTTCTCATCTGACAGCTGCGTTTTAATCATTTCAACTGCAGTTGAATCGCATTCAATAAACTTGTAATTAACTTGCTTAATTTTGACTTTTGGTATATACATAGTTGAGCTTAGTATTTTCAGTGTAATTGTGAAGGAGCTCTGTATGATCTATAAATTTGTGTATGAACTTCAAATTTTACAAATTCCATTTTTGTATCAAGTTCTATTCTTTTAGTCGCTAAATGTAAGATAAGCTTTACGTCTTAAAAGACAAACGTCACAGAAACTTTTTGTATATATGTACTTATAATTTTTCATTGCAATATTCTCTGCTGGAAATAGCCGTGGCTCATAGATGACGCTTTGTATTGAATTGCAAGCTACAAATTTTATAAATTCTTTGTAACCTGATGTTCCTTTCTTTTATATCTGCAAAACATTGTAATTTAGAGGTAATTTCAAAAGATGTTTATATAAATGTGCAATGGGTACCCTTTACTTAGACACTTCTATTTCAATGCTCTCTCATGGTCTTTTATAATATATTGATTGCTTTTATAATAAATGCCTCATTGGCGCCTCTGTATTTACTATAAAAGACTTTCAAGTTCTGAAGTCGTTTTCTGTTTTAGCCATTGTTATTTGCAACTAATGCTAAATTAAGATTTTTAAAATATATTTAATAGAAAATCTTTAGTAACTATTTAATCGAATGACTCCGAGTTAGGTGAAGTCATAGCTTCACAGCAATAAAATTTTGTTTTTTCATGAGATTTTTATTAAAGTAGAATTGTTTTGTATAAAAATTAGTGCCAAATTATAAAATGTTTAGCTTTATGCTAATTCAATAAATATTATCACTTTATGATAGACAACAGTTTATAGAGATCAAACTACATATAAAGCAGTTCAGTTTTCACTTCGAAATATATATAATATATTTATATTAATTCATATGATGAACATTTTAGTCGAAATCGAAATCATATGCTAAGTGGAATACATTTTCTGACTTTCTTCAATGTGAGAAGAACTCAATTTATATGCGCAATAAAATATATATACACAGAGTATATATTTCGTATGCCTGCAAAGTGTATCAAATTTCAATATCCAACTCTTCAGCGCCTCATTGATCTTCATTCAGTCCATACAAACTCTTTTCTACACTCAATCTCATACACACACATGTACATATATTTATGTATGTTTACAAAAATAACTTTGGCATTTGTGTAGCTGACACTTGAAAAGGTCTAAATCTAGATCTGCTTTTAAATACTATACACATAGACTTTCACTTGAGGCCACACACAGGCAGGCAGAAAGGTTTGTCAGATTGATATATTTGATGCCTGCACGTAAATCACATATATTAATGTAATGTGTAATGTAATGTATGTTGAAGGTATGCACTGGCGCACGTCGAGTCGTTTTTCGTGGATTTCAATTCTAATTTTCATAATTTCATAAAATTGGCCTTGCTCAATTTTAGGCTAGCCTAAAATAGGTCCCATCACTCGACGTTTCGCTGTGATTCTCATTTGCATTGGGCGCCCATTCATTCGAGCGTTTCGTTTCCCTTCCCCCACTCTGCGTTGCTCGGGCTGAATTGTAAAATTAGATTTGCATGCGGCAAGTAAATTACAGCGCGTGTACCACAAATTGCAATCGTTTACTTTCAACAGCCACGCCCCTATCACCCAGCGCCCATCGCTTACTTAGTAGCAGCTTCGCTCCCTCTCTGTGCGTTTGTTGATTTCGCTGTCGCGTTTGCTGTCTTCGCATTTATTTCGCATGTAGTTGCAATTAAAAGTTAGAGACTCGATTCAGCAGGTAATTGCAAGCGCCAAGGACGACAACAGGAGGACGCCAGGACATTGCGTATAATTGCAAAACCCATTATGTGTCCTTGTCACGCTGCCTGCCTCAACGTGAGTGCCACATTTACTCCAAAAACTTTTGTGTTTAACTGCAGCAGCCTGGCCTGGCATCGGCAGCAGCTGGAAAAAAAAAACTCCAGCAGCAGAGGCAGCCGCTTCACTCAGAAACTCAAACTCAACCTCAACCTCAACCTCAACCACGACCTCAGCCCTTACCGCACACCCAAAACTTCGACTGCAGTTGAAAAACTTCTAAGCCCCAAGTCAAGCAGTCAAAGTGCATTTTACGGTGTATTTATGGCCTTATGTTCATCGGCTGCCTGATGGCTGGGGTCAAGCAAACATTGCTTCTGGGTCAAAAAATTCCAAATACTCGCATTTATGAATGCGTGTCTGCAGTGTTATGTGTATGTGTGTGAGTAAGTGAATGTGTGCTTGTGTTTGCTTTAGAATTTTTAGTTTTATGTGCAGCATAATCAATAACAATTTGCATTTACATACAATACATAGAAAGCAAGTTAAGCTGAAGTAAAAACTTGGTCCTTCACCCACACACACACATAAACAAATACAAATAACAATAGGCAACACAAATGTATATAAAATATATATCAAATGCCAAATGAATTCGTCCAGCATGGCTGCCAGCGAAGAAAAGAAAGAACGAAAAATAGGAAACGACACAAAACAAAATAGCACATAAAAATAACGATGTATCGCAGATGGTGTAACACATAAGCACATATATATATACATATATATAAATATATATATGTATACACATACACATATAGAAGCATACGTGGGTTACTCGAAACGTATCGAAGTTAGAGTTGTTTAGAATAGAGGAAATCAAACTGTTAGTAATCGTAGAATTCTTATTCTCTCTAACTAAAATATTTTTCTAGATATTCCAAATTTGTATTTAGTTTGCCTATGCCGAAAATCGAATTTATAAGTAATGAAAATATCCAGTTTTAATTTTGGACTTACAGCTGGATAATGAAAATTATTTGATGTCAAATAAATCGATAAATATCGATAGTCCTGCATAAATATAAATTACTTTAATATAAATTTATATCTCAAGCAATTCGTCCAACAGCTATTCCACATCCCTCAGCTTGGACTTAACTATTAACTACATTTTACATTCACTTCATTCAATTAGCTGAAATATGCATTTTAATTATGACACTAATTATATATTTACAATGGACCAATGCACCCTATCCGTTAGCTGCGTAAGTTGGGGAAACTTTTCAAATATTTAGCAGCAAATTATTGCAGCAATGAAAGTTTTCATTAAAAATTGTTAGAGCAACTATTTGCGCTCAGTTTGCTTTAAAATGAAGTTAGTTACAGTCTCTCAGTCTCTTGTATTCTAGAGCATTGTACAAATGCATGCTCCATTTTATGCGCCTTTTAAGCTCTGATGTGCTTAAATGGATTTACCTCAATCCATTCATCCGTTTCGCTTTGTTCGCCTATAACTTAATGCAATTCTGACGCAACTCTCGTTTCGGTTTTGGACAGGCTGTCCGACCAAATGCAAAACAGATATACCATAAACAAAGACTACAGCCAACACACTCACACACACAAACACACTCAAACACATATATTTAGAAACTTCAGCGTCAACTATTAGAGGAAAATATTTGTGCTTGGCTTTGTTTCCAGCAGTTATACACGTGCGAA